TTACAAGGTACGGACCTTAAGAGAAGCACCGCTTACCATCCCCAAACCGACGGGCAAACCAAGGTTGTTAACAAAACCTTGGAAACATACTTGTGCTGCTTTGTTAATGGCAAGCCCAAGTCATGGAGTAAGTGGCTACATTGGGCAGAATACGCTTATAATACATCCTATCATGCTTCTACTTGTTTTACACCTTTTCGGGTAGTGTATGGGAGAGATCCACCCAAGCTGTCAAGGTAGGCCGAGACCCCAGTGGACAAGTTAGAGGAATGGTTACAAGAAAGAGATTGGGTGTTGGATGAACTACACTTGAATCTGGTTCGAGCACAGCAAAGGATGAAATATCACGCGGATGTGAGAAGGAGGGAAGAAGAGTTTCAAATTGGGGACTCAGTCTATTTAAAGCTTCAACCTTACCGTCAAAAATCCCTTGCAAGAAGACCCAATGAGAAGTTGTCTCCGCGCTACTACGGACCCTTCAGGGTGATTCAACGGGTTGGTCAGGTGGCTTACAAGCTCGAGCTGCCAGAGACTTGTAAGGTTCACCCCGTGTTTCATGTGTCTCAGCTTAAGCGCGCCTTAGGGGAGCAAGTGGCTAGTCCTACCATTCCTGTGCAGCTGACAGAAGAGCTGGAGTTCAAGACAGAACCTGAGAGTGTGCTGGATTCGAGAGCTGCCAAGGGAGACCCTGACATTTTGGAGGTACTCATTAAATGGCACGGGTTGCCCCTAATTGATGCAACCTGGGAAGAAGCAGCAGTAATTCACGAAAGGTTTCCCTCATTTCACCCTGAGGACAAGGTGAATTTTGAAGGAGGGGGAGGTGTAACGAGTGCTGGGTATGCTAGGAAGAGCAAGCACAGGGAATGGATCACTTACAAGCGTAAGGGAAGGAGAGGACTGACACAAGCACACCAAATACCTCAAGCACAGCAGGAGCAGGGGAATTTTCCTAACAATCAGTGACAGCTGCTTTTTTGTCCTTTCTGTTCTTGGCTTGTTGTGTAAATATAAGAAAGGGGAAGGGGGAGTGTGTAGGTAGGCAATCATTTTGTAATTCCTAGGTTAAGGAGATTTGTACCCTAAAGGTGCTCCCTAGAGAGTGGTGGCCTGAAGTCACTCAGATCCAAGACTCCATTTTTTAAGTTCTTATCAATCAATCTACTGCCTTCTTCCCTCAAAAATTGCTGCTTTTATTGCTTTCTTTCCATAAATCTGTTATATTGAGTTAGTGTGTTACATAATCACAGTTGGTTAATAACTTAATACTTCTCACTAATTTTTTCACTTTTTTATCGCTAAGTTGCACATTATATTTTAGCAAAAAAATAGTCTTTTTGCAATAAAAAAAATAATTATCAAATGACCATCCAATTGTCACATGAAGTCTAGTAGGCAGTGGATAATACATAATAAAGTCCTAAGTTCAATCATCAAATGACTATTCTATTGAAAATTTTATAAATTCCAGGCTTAATTTTTTGGGTATTGGTTCGGATATTCGATATCCAATTTTTTTCCGGATACCGGATATCCGAAAATTTGAAAATCAATATCCGAATCTGCATCCGATATCCTTTTTACATATCAGATTTTCGATCCGATCTGAAATTTTGGAACGGATATCCAAAAAATCGGATCGGATTATCAGAATTTTGAATTCTCGCAGGCCTATAGCTCACCCCCTATTTAGAATTAACTGCCTAGAAGCTAACATATTTTCCTTTCGAAAATTACCATGACATGAAACATAGTATGAGAAATCAATTTATGAAATGTTTCTGGATTTGAGTTTCTCATTTTTATTTAATAATTCAAAGTTATGAAAGCAGTGTTTCCTTAAACTACTTTTAAATAAGATTTGGAATATGTATGTACATGTTTAGCATCAAGTATCTTTTGAATTTGAACAAACTCTGGCTTTTCAATTTGGACACTCAAGTCTGGACATAGGGGCCTGCCTATCCTGTGCTAACATAAATTTAGATATTGTATTGCAAGTCCTTTCACCTGTGTCGGGGGTTAAATTATCTTTTGGGGGCCACCAACTCTGTCAATCTTGATCTTCAATATAATTATTCTCTTTTTGATTATTATTATTATTATTATTAATTTTATTTAAATTCTCATATAATTACTGTTAAACCTTTATTTTTTCCGAAGAATTCAAGAGATTGCAAGCAGTTTAATAGTTGGCGTGTAGGCAACAAACATTTTGGGGAGCATGTAGGCCTTGTACCTGTTTGTCATATGGCGGTAGTGGGTGGTTTTTTTTTTTTTTTTTTTTTTTTTTTTGGGGGGGGGGGGGGGTGGGCGAAGCTAAGATTTACACTGAACGATGAGTTTATGTGGCATTTGGGTCTAATTCAGGTTGGGTGATTTTCTTTGATATGACTTTCCGGTAGATTTCAGGTTCGGGTCAGGTCATTTTCGGTTCTATTGCCGATATGCTTATTTTAATATAGTAATTATTTTTAGAAACATTCATTAGCAGGTTGGATTGGGTATAGGTCAGGGTGAAACAGTAATTTCGGGTAAAGTTTGGGTCTTGGGTCAGGTATGAGTCTGTTTTGCTATGTCTAATTATGCGCTCAGCAGACATGTATATAACTGTATAGATATATCATGTGTTTGTCATAGTCAAAGTTATGAAGTGCTTATGCTCTCTTTAATCCTGGGAAACACAGGTCTTTTGGTGCTTAGTTTTTATCTTCCTTTGGTTAAAAAAAAGGATTGTGGGAATATATGTTGTTTAGTATGGGACAGACATTCGACTGTGTTCTTTCAGTCCATATCTTCAATTTTAGTTAGTGTGCCACACCAGTCTTGGAGACTTATGATATCTGTATGCTAAGATGCCCAAAAAATTACTTAGTGGCCTTACTATATTTAATTCTTCTTTACTGCTCAAAGGGCGTATGCTATTTTGGCCAGTTTCAGATAATCTAATTAGTCTTGAATATAATGTTACAGCTTGAGGTTGAGCTCAGCAGGCAGCGTCATGATGGCGACCTTCAGGAAAAGAACAGACTTGCTCGTGTAATGGAAAACAAGGTTAGCAGCTCATCATAATAAATGCTATTGATTTATTTATGTGCTTGTTATCACTTGTCAGGCAAACTTGGTTTTTGCCCTTAGATACTCCTCAGTTCCTCTTTTTTTAATTGCAAGGTTTCACATTTCATGTTTTCCAATGCTTAATTTTAATACTTCCTCCGTTTCATAAGTAGAAGTCTATTTCCCATTTTTCACGGGAATTAAGGAAGTTGGTTGGGAGTACAAATATGCATGTGTGGTTAGAGAGAGATGGAGAAAAAGAAAAAGTGATTGAGAATTATTGAAGAGATGGAAAGAGAAATTGTTGGGAATTGATGCCAAAAATACAAAAAAACAAAAAAAAAAAGAAAAAAAAAGGAATGACAAATCATAAAAAAGAGGGTATTATTGTCAAAAAGTACTATCTATAAATAGAAACAGACTTCTAATTTTGAATACCCAAAAAAGGAAAACAGGCTTCTAATTATGAAACGGAGGGGAGTAACTCTGTGTTTTATTACGTGCTCCATTTGTCCATGCGTGGAGCCGTGGAGTTTTAAAGGAATTGTAGAAAGTAATAAAATATGATTGAAGTGGGGTTTGTTGAAGAAAAAAAAAAATCTAAAAAAGAAAAAGTGAGTGTAAATGAGGAGGAGAGATAATATGAAAAATATTAAAATATGATTTGAGGGGGGTCACTAGTGGGGAGGGAAATAGTAAAATGTTGTCAAAAATTTTCTAAAAAGGGAAATAGAACAAGTAATAAAATACAGCCGCGAAAGGAAAGTGGAGCAATTAATAAAATACAGAGGGAGTATATCTCTAATTTTCGGTGTGTGGAAATCATAAAATTTGATATTATGAGAGTTACAAATTGAATCTTTCAAGACCCCACGTGATTATATTTTTTCTAAAGTTATAACCATTAATAGAGTTATAGAGTCAAAATGGATTGTGAATAATGCAGAAGTTAAAACCGTGGCTACTAAATAAAAAGGAGGAAGTATTATTGAAGTAAATGAGATGTACTTGTCTTATATTGTCATTTATATTATATGAGGTTAATGATTGTTTCTCATCATCCCTCTTATCCTCAGAAAATTTTCCAAGAAAGAGTGGTGGGTCGCCGCCAGTCTGAATTCGAAAGATTGAGACAAGAACGGGAGGAGCATTTCCGTCAAATTCGTGAGGCACGTAAACAGGAAAGGGTAGCTCAGCGGAAGATGCTTTTCTATTTGAGATCAGAAGAGGAAAGATTGAACAGGCTGCGTGAAGAGGAGGAAGCACGGAAGCGTGAAGGTCTGAACAGCTTTTATGGCACAACAATTTTCTCTCAGCTTACAACCTTTTTAATTTTTTTGCTAACCTAGTACCTTGTTGATATATATGTACTGAACACTTGTTGCTTATATACCATTTTATGCATTTAAACCTGCAGAGGCTGAGAGAAGAAGAAAGGAAGATGCTGAGCGCCAAGCTAAGCTGGATGAAATTGCAGAGAAGCAAAGGCAACGAGAGCGGGAACTTGAAGAAAAGGAGAGGCTAAGAAGACAGCAGATCCTTGCTGGTGAGGCTGCTCGGTCTTCTGAGGCTTCTCCTCTTGCCAGGCCTCAGGCAGAGGCGGTACCTGCTGCAGCAGCAGCTTCTGCTGCTCCGGCTGCTGCTGCTGCTGCTGCTGCTCCAGCACCTACGAAATATGTTCCGAGACACTTGCGGGAGAAAGCTGCTGTGCCAGCCCCAGCTCCAACTGCTGACAGGTGGCGAAGTACTGATCGCCGTGGTTCAGGTGGGGGCAGCTCAAGGCCCACTTGGTGATGATCCGTGTGGCTTAGAGTGTGGGTTTTTCAAGGCCCATTTGGTCATCAATTCGTGCTCAAGGTTCTTAAGCTCTCTGACCACTTCTGTTGCAATTAGACAGGCCAGACAGTGCATGGTTTTGTTCCTTTGAAACTTCTTTGTGGCAAATGGCCATTCTCAGAGTTTACTCTTTCAATTTTGTTTTCAATGTTCGTATTTATGCTGCTTTATACTGTATTAACGAGCAGCAGAGTATTAAGAGGGATGTTGCTAGTGTTAAGACTATGAAATGTATTTTTGTAAAACTTCTTCAGACAATTAGACGACTTTGACGTGCTTTCTTTTATTATTGAGCTTTTTGATGCCTACCTTTTTGGAGGATGGAGAACTTTTTTTTTCGGATATTTGAACATTTTTTTTCTTCAAACTACTCCCTCCGTCCCTTATGGACAAATTTTAATCCCAAAATGTTCACCCCATTTGCTATTTCCAACAACCATTAATATTATTTTTTTACCAAAATTCCCTCTAATGTGCAACAATATTTTTGTAAATTTAAGTTTTTTTATGTAAAATTTGTTTTTCCATGTACTTTTATTACTTTATCTCTCTACCTTTTTGCATATCCAATGTCAATTTACCTTTTCAATGTACTTTAACTATTTTTATTTGTGTTTATTAATTCCCGTGAAAAATAGCCATAAGGGACTATCAAAAGGGGACGGAGGGAGTATTAGCAAATTCTTGCCTATCTAGACTTATCATTAGTATGAAGGTATTAACCGTATTATCATATGGTTCTTCCAATTTTTATTCGAGTTAAGTGAACTTATTGTCAATCAAACTAAATAGAACTCGAAACTATTAGGAAACTATTATCCCTAAGTCTTCCATATTTACTTAATCCTAACCATGATCTTCTCTCAGTTTCTCTCAAAACTCAAGCTATCTTAGGCTGGAACAAAGGCTTTTATACGGAATACTTCACATATCCAAGCCAATAATTACAAAAAAGGACAAGCCTATATCTCTTCAAGCCATTTCAAAATCGCTTTACATAATAAACGCCAAGTCTATACTAGATAATATGAAATATGGTTTTGTGAATGAAGTATGGTTCTGTAATTTGACTTCCGGATGTATGTCAATGTGTTCATCTCGTGTGGTGTATATAAGCACTTCTATGAAGGAAGTTTTGACAGTTTCTTGATAGCCATCCCAGTGACGAGCTGGTTTCATTATTGAATAATGCGATAAGATTGTACATGCTCTTACAAGGAAGCTTTAAAATCTAACCAGGGAGAATGTTTTAACAGTCATTAGACATGGCTATAAATTGGTTGCTTCTCAAATGTAGCTATCCACTTTGGTCTGTAAGTTGGAACTGATCAAGGAGGAAGACGGAGCACTTGATTTGATTTCGACATCGGTCATAAAGGTTTACTGTCGTGATCTCATTTCTTATTGAATGAAAATGATACCAGTGGTTCATCTTTTGGTAGACTGTCGTTCATTCACAACCATGAACCATTACTAGGTCTACTTATGTTCTTATGATCAAGGTCATCTCTTTGATGTAAACCAAGTATGCATACAGCGCCCTAGGTGATGCTTATGGTGAAAGAACAAAACGACTGGTAAATAGAAGAGTCTATGAAGAAGGAACTGTATTCGTCCAGTTATCTTGAACAAATTTATTTTCCCAAGACTTCTGTGTATTTAGTTGAGGATTTCTGTGTGAACATAATTTGCTTAAAATTATATCAAATTTCATTCAATGCTACAACAATACGTAGGTGTCTTTTTCTTCATTATTTGAACTTGTGTTTAGTGAGATATATACTTTTAGTAATGTCTGTAATGGTAATTGTGAAAGGTTTCAGTAAGTATTCAGTTTCTACATTGTCATCTAGTTACGCGTTGTGCCTTGATCAACCTTGTAAGCTGCATGATTTCACCTTTCAGAAAGCTTCGCAAAATCAGAGTATAAGCTGTATATGTCAAATGTTCCTGCATTTTTTTGCTGATTCGTCAACTAGACCTGCTTTAATCAGTGTGCAGGATGTCTCCAGTATCACAAACTAGTTGACAACCTGGGTCTTTTGCTTGAGTATGACTTCCGGAATGATACTAAGAAGATTAGGATGAATGTTTTTGTATGTAATTGAATTCATGATAAGATTGTTTTTGCATGTAATTGGAATATTGTTTCGTGCGTTAAAGTACTCAACTATCAACAAAAAAAAAAGTACTCAACTACTAGTATATTCTATTTTAACACAAGAAAGGAGCATATATTACATAAGGTTTAAACCTAATAGGACCAGAAGGTCATAATTCCAATATAACAAAAGAGTGAGAAAATACAGCGCGAAAGAAACATCGAAAATAGCAGATATAGATCAGAATGTAGCAAAAATGGTTATAAAACATGCTAGGAAAGGACGGCTATTGAACTAGAACAGTTCATGAGATTCATTCATATCATCTTTCCTACACGATAACAAAAATTTCCTCAAAACTCTCATCTCGTAACAAAAGGCCAGTAAATAAGTCAAAGGAAAAAGAATCTATTGTTTATTTTTATAAACCGAGGTGGAGATTACAATACAAAAAGCAGAGCAGCTAATGAGTCCTTTGAATCTTTCATCCCTGAGCTGGCGATTGGGCTGGTGGTTGAGTTGCTTGTTGTACAGGTGGTTGAGTTGCCTGTTGTACTGGTGGTTGAGTTGCCTGTTGTACTGGTGGTGGTGACTGGGTTACAGGGGAAGGTGGTGGAGGCTGGGTTACTGGTGGTGGTGGTGGAGGCTGGGTTACTGGTGCAGGTGGTGGTGGAGGCTGGGTTACTGGTGCAGGTGGTGGCGGTAACTGCGATACTAGTGCAGGTGGTGGTGATTGGATTACTGGTGCAGGTGGTGGTGACTGGGTGGTGATTGGATTACTGGTGCAGGTGGTGGTGACATGGTTACTGGGGAAGATGGTGGCGGTGACTGGGATACTGGTGCAGGTGGTGGTGACTGATTTACTGGTGCAGGTGGTGGCGGTGACTGATTTACTGGTGCAGGTGGTGGCGGTGACTGGGCTACTGGTGCAGGTGGTGGCGGTGACTGGGTTACTGGTGCAGATGGTGGTGGTGACTGCGATACTGGTGCAGGTGGCGGACTAACTGGAGGAGATTTGGGAGGTGGTGGGGAAGTTGGATTCGACACTGGTGGAGTAGACAAGGGTATTGGAGCTGTTGTAGTTGTCGGGTTTGACGGAGGTATGGGTGGTGCTGGTGATGCATTTGTTGGTGACATTGCTGGCGCTTGTGCTTTAGCTAATGCTACGGCAAGAAACATGCCATATAACATGCAAACACACCTATTAGCCATTTTTATTCTGGTTAGGATCTCAAAGCTATGTAGATGGGTTTAAATACCAAGTAAAGATCGACTTTTAAGAGATGGAAAGGACTTGGTGAAAGGGGAGAGGTAAACTTCAAACGGTTGTTGCATCTCACTCTCATCTACTGAATAATGGAAGTTGTGATTTTTAAGTAAAAAAAAAGACAGGAAAAACTTGTTTTACATGTTAAATTGTGGTAATCATTTTTCAAGATTTTGGATTAAGATTTTGAGCATCCTGCATGGGATTTACTCAAATTTGTGTTGATTTATAATTTCCTCCAATTTCTTAAAAATACAATAGCTTCACCAACATATTTGTCAATGCACAACTTTTTTGACCAAGATTACTTAATAAAAATTAAAAAAAATGAATACATTGAAAGTAAAAATAGAGATGAATTCAACATATTTTGCAGAAAGACCATTGTTTTTAGTAAGAATACGTGGGTCAAATTAAATTTTAGTACTTGTATATGAATAATAAAAAGTCATATTTTGCAATTTATAGGAAAAAAAGGAAATAATTAAAGAACTTGAAAATGGTGCCAGTGAGATCCAAAAAGCTAATTTGATAGGTGGTAAAGGATAAGGATAGGTTGCCAAAAATGATCCAGGAACTGTACTTACAAAAGAAAAATTCTCAGATTGACCAAAGCCTGAGCCAACCCTAGCCTCAAGCTGAGCCAAACTGTCAACCTAATATGTAGATGACTAGCCAGAGAAGTCAGAAAAGACCGACTTAATAGATCCCTTAACGATTCCAGCTGAGTTACAAGTGACTAGTCTGAGTCTCGGTTAAAGCTATTGAGGTTTAGTGAATTTCAAGCTAAGCCCTAACTGAGAATGAGCTCAGTTCAGCACATTTCTTCCTAAGGATATCTATATACCATTGATGTCACCAGTCATTGGCAATATATACTCCATAGTTCGTTAACAATCCCTACTTTATGCTTATTAAACTTACATCCCTTCAGAATTCACAAATAGGATTCTAAGGGAATTCACACTTCACAAATAGGATTCTGAGGGAGAAGGAAATTACTGTTGATGACAGAAATCTTGACCACTCTCCAGGAATGGATGATCTGATCGGAGATCAGGCGTGTATTCCTAATCTGCCTCTTAATTGATCAGGAAATCCCCGAACGGCCCTTGATGTACCCCAACTATGACAAAAAAAAAAAAAAAAAAAAAAAAAAAAAAAAAAAAAAAAACCAAAAAAAAAAAACAAAAAGCTACACGGAGAATGTCCTAATGACCTAATCTAGCAATGTCACCATATTCAGATTAATAACTTTGCTATTATGGCTTTAAATCCATCGTGTGGCAAATGAAGTCACTTAAGCTGAGACACCAATATGGTAAGCTAAGGGAACTTAATGAGGAGGGACTAATAAGAGTAGCTGGTTGACAGTTTAGATCAAGGAGGTGGTGGTTATGGAGCACAGATAGAAAGGAAAAACAAGAGGAAGAGTGTTTCTTATCCTATAATCCAAAATAACAGCTTTTCACTGGTAGTTGTCTTTTATCTTCACTCCCTCTCTTTTCCTCCATCAATAAAGCATAACCCTTGTTTTCATCAAACTCAATTACAAAACTGAAAATCCAAGAAGGAACCTTCCAGGTAGAAAGCTCAAAAACATTATAGGCTATGAAGAGATGGTGGATTAGGCAAATAAATTTCGCAGAATATATGATACATTACATACTTATCAAGTACCCTGTTTCCAACAGTATCAGGAACACAAAAAAATATCAACAGCATTTCCACTAGAAGATAATGTTGTCACTGGATCTAAACAATTCAAGCTATGTATATATAATTATTTCTTCTGCAAAGAGTTACATAAGATGGTTGCATTTTTATCCAAACAATTCCGCTCATATCGACAAGCAAGTGATCAATTAGTCGTATAATGTTTCCTAGATCATATCAGGAAGTTATATTGATGGAAGAGAAATATTTACCTCGAGAATATAGAATCTACCGGTTTTATTCATACTGCAGTACACTTATCAGAATTGTCCAATCTTGAACAACTAAAGAATAACATGATCATTTCAGCCCATCAGGCATCAGTAAGTAGCAAAGACTAGCAAAGAGTGATGTCTATATATTAGAGGCAGGTAAACCTTCAAGATGATATTGGAATGCAAGATAACTTCAGAGATACAAAGTATTATTGGCTGGAGAAGATATTATTTATTTTCAAAAATACAATGGCACTTGCCACTACATATCAGATGACTAACTTTAATTTGGATCATAAGCACTGTGATAAATTATTACTCAATTTATCATCTTAACTGGTAACTACAGTCTAAATTAAAGTTAACTTTGAATTCAGATGAACTTAAACTGAGGGAGCTCTTGAGGATCCCATCAAATTTCAGCAGAAAAACGTACTAGGATTTGCTACTTCAATTCATGACTATGGTGACAATCAGAGAAAACCGCTAATAGTAAATCCAAGCATAAAAAATTATGGAAACTTCAGATGTCATATAGACATGACAAATTATCCGAAAGCATAAGCTCGAATTAGAACACATTCAACAAAAATTCATGATGTCTTCCCTCAAATGACGAAATTATCAATCCCAAGAGCGTGTTAAGACTATAAACAAACACGAGCACTCAAGACTTTAATCTAATCGAACCAGTCATTGAAACCAATGATATACCAACATCAATTAAACAAGTACACAACAAAAAAAAAATCAGTAAACTCTGTTAAATTAAACGTCATTAATTCTTAATCAATGATATACAACACAAAACTGTTTATGTTCCACAACATTCCTTATTAAAACTGCAACATAAGAGATGAGAATCATACTACAATTTCCTCAGCTACTGAAGTAACTCCTTGCGGTATTATACTCAATATAACTAACACTAAAGTGATTATCTCAACAAAATTAAGACTGTCATTGATAATTTTTAAAAAAATAAAAACTCGAACCTCAAAAATCGAATCGAAATCAATCATCCAACTGCTGAAGCTCAGCCTTAAGCTGCTCAATCTTGAGTCCCATAGACCTTTGCAAAGCTTCTCTCTCCTGATCCTTCAACCTCCCCAACAAGCCCTGAAACATGTCCAACACTTCCTTAACAGCAGCTCTAGCACACTCAGCTTCCTCATTGAAATAAACAGTCTCTTTAGACTCCATAGCTGCCTCAATTTCCTCCCTTGCTTCAGCAAATTTCAAATTAATTTCATCCACTATCGTGTTTTTGTCAAAATTTTCAGCTGAATCTCCACTGTAACTCCTCAATTGAGAAATTAAGGATGATGGGTGGTTGAAATGGGGGAAATTTGAAGTGGGTTTGGAAGAAATTGGGGGTTTTGAGAGAGAACATTTGTGGGTAGAAATTGGTGCAATTGATTTGAAAAGAGAATTTTTTGGTTTTGTACATTGGGTAAAGGGGTTTTTGCGAAGTAGGTTGTAGATTGAAATCGATGATTTTTTATGCATGATTTTTTGAATTCAAAGTTTTGGGTGCAAAAGAGAAGTAAAGAACTAAGGGAGGAAGATGACCTAATTCATTTTTTTTGGGGGAAGATACCTAATTCATAAGATGACTTGGTTAGTGTCCATACAATACACAGATTTTAACTACAGTAAAAGATATTGCGTATTTGCGTAAACTAGTTGTTGGCCCGCGCAATACGGGCGCGGTCCCCCAACGTGATTTTGTTTAGGTAATTAGTGTGTAATTAGTCGTAGTGTATTTATTAATGTAAGTGAATTTGCTTATAGAGTTATAGTATATAATGTGTAGGTATAGAAGTTAGAGTGGGGATTATTAGAAGGCTTGCATAAGGCATATGCACATGTTAGTAAGTTTATGTGCATTGGTTAATCATGGAGCATTGAGTTGGCTCCAAAAGCAAACTAAAAGAATAGATATTCGACTCCCAACAGAAGGAAAATTAGGTGCAGCACAATCTCTAGTACAACTTTGTCTATTAGCTATTAATATATTTACAATGTTGTAATTGCTTTATAATTACTTAATTATTGATCTATGAGAATCAGATTACATAATTACTACTAAATACTAATCTAAAGGGTGCAGCTATAACGACTCCTCGTTGTTCATAGCTTATCTTCTTCCTATGCCCTACTTAGTACTGCCTGTAAATTCTGCTCCTCGTGATACTGCAACCACAAACAAAAACAACACGATGAATTGGTTGTCAAAGATCAATTTTTAATAGCTCCAAACAATGACCCCTACTGAATTATTTGAACCAATCTCAAACAATATCCAAAATTACATGGCTCGAACAAAAAATGACCCAACTTGAGCTAAAAGTTAGTAAGTATATCATTAATAACCAATCATAATAATCTACTTAGAAAAACGAATATGACCTTGGCCAAAATTAAACAAGGTGAGTAAATCACCAAAATTTGCCCCAAAACACAGTGCCTACGCTAAATCATCCCTTTTTTAGCATTCTAGTTCTAACAATCATAACTCATGACAATAATGAGGCCATTAAAAACTTTTCTTATTAGAAAAGCAAAGGGATTACCTGCTTTGCTTCCTTTCTTTCTCAATTACATCCTGTTATAATAAGCAACAATTGTTAGATAAATTATAGGTAGGAACTATGGTAGTAAAAATACACGCTTGAAGAGAAAAAAAAACGTTGAATTCAACAGGATACACAAGTTATTAACAGGACCAATCATTCGGAACAAAACCACATTGTTTATAAATCATGTCAATATCAAGATTAAGTACTTGCTAAAGCTAGGATTTGAGAAAAAAAAAAAAAAAGTATACCTGGTGTTGCCAAAAAAATTAAAATGGACATTATTCACAAAACAATTTGACTATCATTATTTTCATTTTTATTTTTTTTATAGAGCACATATTTTCAACCAGAAGTATCTAAATTAAAATTAGGTCGCGCAAGGCATTATGTTCGATGAAAAATTGATAATTCACAACAACTGCTTACATAAACATTAGGCTTAATGAGAGCTTTGTAGTCTGTACAGGGTTAGGCTCATCATTAGTGAACAGCATAGCATCATAATCTTCCACTAAGATGAGAGCAAAGAATAAAATTGGGTAATTTGATGACCTTCATATATATTTGATGACGGGTAATTTTTAGACCTTTGCTACTTACTGTGTGAGTATGATTAGTGTCGAATCCATATCACTTGATTTTGAGAAAGCTATATGTTACTACCACTTTCATCTAACACACAGAGAACACTTATACACTCCATATCACTTGCTCTCCCTACCAACTTTACTTCTCTTTTCCCGTAATCTTTCTATCACTCAAGTCTTTATGGTGTTGCAAATTTTAAGTCTTTTAACACTTTTGTTTATTGCTTCCTGGTTATATAATTGACCTCCTCAAGTGCTCCTTATCTCTTTGCCTTCTTTCTCTCACATTGTCACTGTCACATATTGGGCCTTATCTCCCTCTACTCCTTTTGTTCCCTCATCATCAGCTCCTCCCTTACCTCCTCTTGCTTCCTATTCTTCTCTCTTCTATTGTGGTCTTGATAATTGAGTTCGTCCTAATTGCTCCCTCACCCTTTCTCGCACCTTTTTTCATCTCCCTCTCATTTATCTTATATGTCGTGGTTATTAAAGTTCGTCCTAATTGCTTCCTTATCCTTCCTCATCGCTCCTCTTATTTATCTTATATTGTTATTAAGATATTCACTTTTATAATTTATATTTTTGTCATGTCATTAAAAAGATATTATATTGTATAACAGTCTCCTAAAAAAGTTGTAATTGTCACGACTTTTCTCTGCCTAGTATCCTTGACGACCTCGAACTTTCTTTAACATCTTAGCCATCACATAGTCACCTTTTGATTAGGGGATTTTTATCCACCAATCACCGTCTGACAAGTGGACCAACCAGGTTCCGCCACGTGTCCTTCACGAAGGCCAACAGGAGCCTGCCACGTGTCAATCACAGATACGTCCTCTACGGACCAATTGAGACACGCCACGTGTCCACCCATGCCAAATGGGAAAACCGGCCATCAAGGCCCAATCCTGTCTAGAGGCCCGCTCAGCTCTAGGTTTACCCTAAACCTAGAGAGTGGCACGCTTCTCAAGGCTATAAATACTTAATTAATCCTCATTAATTAGGAGACCAAGAAATCAAGCAGAGAAGAACAGAAATATTACGGAACACTAATAACCGGCTAATCTCGCTAACGACGCAGATTATCAACATTAAGCACTCTCACCTAGAGAGATCTTATTACTTTAATTTCCGTATTAATTACTCCTTAATCAGGTACTAACTTGACCGTTGGAGGCGGAGCTCTCAGGAGTCTCCGTTATTTTGCAGGTACAGGCGTCCGGTTCCAGTCTCGGAATTGTAACTCTCCCGCAGGACATCAGAAAACCCCGAAACACCTTTTTTTTTTTTTTTTTTTTTTGCTCTCTTCCTTATTCCTTTCTCATTCTCTTCCTTTCATGTTTCTCTTAATCCTTATTCTTCTCCCCCCCTCCCCTCTCGCCCGCTCTTTATCTCTGTCACACTCTTAAATGGTTTTAACATTTTTTTTGTAATCATAGTCCTACGCCCATATCACTTGATTTTGAGAAAGTTATATGTTACTACCACTTTCATCTAACACACAGAGAACACATATACACTCCATATCACTTGCTCTCCCTACTAGCTTTACTTCTCTTTCCCCGTACTCTTTCTATCACTCAAGTCTTTATGGTGTTGCAAATTTTAAGTCTTTTAACACTTTTGTTTATTGCTTCTTGGTTATATAATTGACCTCCTCAAGTGCTCCTTATCTCTTTGTCTTCTATCTCTCACATTGTCACCATCACATATTGAGCCTTATCTCCCTCTACTCCTTTTGTTCCCTCATCATCAGCTACTACCTTACCTCCTCTTGCTTCCTATTCTTCTCTCTCTTTTCACTCTTCTATTGTGGTCTTGATAATTCAGTTCGTCCTAGTTGCTCCCTCACCCTTTCTCGCACCTTTTTTTCATCTCTCCTCTCATTTATTTTATATGTCATGGTTATTAAAGTTTGTCTTAATCGCTCTCTCATCCTTCCTCATCGCTCCCCTTATTTATCTTATATGGTTATTAAGATATTCAATTTCATAATTTATATTTTTGTCATGTCATTAAAAAGATATTATGTCGTATAACAGTCTTCAAAAAAAGTTGTAATTGTCACAACTTTTCTCTCCCTAGTATCCTTGAGGACCTCGATCTTTCTTTAACATCTTAGCCATCACATAGTCACCTTTTTTAATTTCTTTTTTTTTTTCTTTTTTTGCTCTCTTCCTTATTTCTTTCTCATTCTCTCCCTTTCCTGTTTCTCTTGATCCTTATTCTTCTCTCCTCCCCTATCTCGCCCACTCTCTATCTCTGTCAAACTCTTAAATGGTTTTAACATTTTTTCTGCAATCATAGTCCTACGCCCCCACCCCCCCAATGAAATGAAAACCCCGTGTATGGCATGGAAATTGAGCTAAATGCACAGAAAATTTCAGTCTAAGTGCATAAATAAACAATACTTGTACTATTTAATGGTTTTAACATTTTTAGTAATTGTAGTCCATCGTGACATCGTCCCTCGCCTCTCAATGAAATGGAAACCCCTTGAATGGAAATTAAGCTGAATTCACATTAAATATTAAATGCATCGGTCTAAGTGCATATATTAACAATACCCAAATCCCAAAATGCAAAGTCACCAAAATAAATACAAAAAAAAAACAAGATTAATGGACTAAACATAAATAAACAAAGTAAGATACCTCTCAAAGTATTCAAGGATACCGAAAACTGAAGGCCTGAAGAACAAGAAACTCGCCTAATGCTGCTTTTTCTCTGGCTGTTAGCCTTTTCATTTCAGCTCTGAACCTTTTTACCTCAGTTTCCATTTACTTCCCATCTTCCCTGGTTATTCTTTTCACGAACAAAGAAAAAATCATCTGAAAAAAACAATCATAATTGGATTTTTACATGAAAATAAATCCCGCTCAAAATAAGTGACCTTTGTATAATCAAATACTCCCTCCATCCCCAAATGATAGTCTCTTATGGGCAAAAATCACGGGAATTAAGAAACTTAAATAAAAGTAGTAAAATTACATTGAAAAGATAAATATAGTATGTAAAATAGTAGAGAGAGAAAGTAATAAAAGTATATTGAAAAACAAAATTTACATGGGAAAGTTAAATTTGCACAAATATCGTTTAATTGGAGGGAATTTTCATAAAAATATGATATTAATGGTACTTGAAAAAAGCAAATGGGACTATCTTGATTTCCTGCACAAACATATTATTATTAACCCAACTTATTATGATAATCTTATATCTCTATTATTTCAGCTAAAAAAAAGGTAATTCAATAATTAAGAAGGAACAGTCAAAAGGATAAAGGATGTCATCAAATCATCATGAGATTTATAAATCATCAGGTTCCTGCTTTAATAAGAAGTGCAGACAGTACAAAACACACAAACAATATAAGTATTTGACATCAAAGGTGAGAATATAGTCCTAAAACTTACTTAAGTCTTTCTCTACTTGTTTAGTTTTCCCTTCTTCTTGCAGCTTCCTATATCTTTCATGAGCCCTCTCTATTTTTCCAACT